AGAGTTGGCTAAGGAGACAATTAGCCTACTGAAAGACAGGCAAGCTTTTAATGCCCTGAAGGTCAAAGCAGCTGCATAGGTGAGAGGAATCTGAATGAACAAAGAGGAAGGGGAAAAGAAAACTGGATTTAAGAGTGTTTGTCTAGACAGTCTGCATCTGAAAAGATTACTTTAGAGATGGTTGTTGTATCAGGACAGGTGAAAGTGTATGAACGACTGAAGAAACTAAATCCACTGTATACCAGGCAGAATAGTGGTACTGAAGTTACAGGGGAATGCTGGTATTTCTTTGCATATCCCTTTGGAAAGGTGTCCTGGTTAGTTTAAAACAGGACTATTTCTCCTTTCAGTAGTTTTTATTTCACTTAAGTTTCTTCTAAGAAACTGCACTTTCTGAAAGTACAGCTACATGGTTTTCAGACAGTGTCTGCTTTCAGACTTGATAACACTCGATGTTTACAGTTGCTACTGAAGTAATGGTGGGACTGGTACACAGAAAGGCCCATGTTTATGCTTATTCCAATTGGAACCAATGTCACTGGTGGCCGTCCTATTTTAAGGAAGTGAAAAGCTGTAAAAAGATTGCATCTGCAGAAAAGTGCAGATGGGAAAGGTGACTAAAAACTGACCAATGAGGCATTCCATCCCATCCACGTCATCCTCAGTATAAAGCTAAGTGATCACAGGGGAGAGTCTTCCTTCTTTCATGGCCAGCATCCCTGTGGGACCCGGGTCATTCTGCTGCCTCCAATCCTGATGTGTGCATTCCTGAATCCAGTTCCTGTCAGAGGCAGAGTCCAGTCTGGGACATCCAAGTGCCCACCCTGCCATGTCAGTGGTGGGAGTTACCACGGCCTCCTTTTCCCTGATCATCACTGGGAAGCTCAATATTGGTTTTGTGCATTTTTTGTTTTATTTCCATTATTATTAATAGTATTAGTATCAATATTGTTATACTCTTTTTTCATTGTTATTGTTTCATTAAAGTAATTTTAATTTTCCAACCATGAGTCTCTCAACTTTTTCTCATTTCTTTCCCTGGGAGAGGAAGGGGATAATACAGAGTGTCTGCCATCCCCTTTAAGTGCCAGCCCAACCTTAAATGGTGAGATATTTCTTGGACTCTCCACCTGAGGGATCTGAGTTAGAATCCCAGCTCTGGATTTGAGGTGAACTTTTTCTAGCTTGGTGGGCCCATGACACCTCAGGCCATCATGGAACAGATGCCACATATACATGGGCTCATGATCGAGGGGCGGACATGGCTATGGACACTATTGCCAAGGTTATCCATGAATGTGAAACACGCACTGCAATTAACTAAGCGAAACGGTTAAAGCCTCTGTGGTATGGAGGACAATGGCTGAAATATAAATATGGGGAGGCTTGGCAAATTGACTATATCACACTCACACAAACCCAGCAAGGTAAAATCATGTGCTTACAGTGGTGGAAGCAACTACCGGAGGGCTGGAAACATGTCCTGTGTCCCATGCCACTAGCCAGAACACTGTCCTGGGCCTTGAAAAGCAAGTCCTGTGGCAGCACAGCACCCTTTAAAGAACTGAGTCAGACAATGGGACTCATTTCCGAAATAACCTCATTTTTGTCAGAGAGGTGCTTGCAAACCAGAAGCAGTAGTTGGGGGAGAAACCAGAACAAAAGCAGAAAAAAGAGCAACAGGATATGGGCAGGTGGAGCCGAATGTGGAACACTGCTAATTTTCCTGTTTATCTGGAGATTTTTACTCAGTTTCCTGAAGGGAAAAACTTTTCTGATATTTACAAATTTCAGAATGTAAAGAACTCTTCTTTTCCATGTTTGTTTCCAGATCTTTACTTATTCTCCACTCCAGAGGGCAAAATGTTTTTTGACACCTGTAATTATCTCAGATATACCAATAGTGCAGTAATTATCCCAATTATCACATTTGTCACAATTATCATTTGTGATGAGAACTGATCCTCCAATTGCTAGCATACATAGATCAGCTTAATATCATCAAAAGAACCAGACTGTGGCCATGTTTGCTATGTGTCACCAAAGACAGTCACTTCAGGCCAAATTTCTTGACACAGAGTCCAGGCTTTTGATGATCTGGCCATCTCATCAACGGAATCCAGTGTTCCAACAATTCTTCTACTGGAGACCTCTGCCCGTGCTGACCATGGAGAGAGGCTAGGATGCAAATTGTAGAATTAGCAGGGTTACTATTTATTTAGCCACATAAGGCATCCCAGCTAAACTGGGGCACCCTGAATGTGGTTATACAGAGGGTTTTCATACCCTTCAAGTGCACAAGTACAACCTAATTTGACTAATCCTAATTCAGACACACACTACCGATTGCTAATCATAGTAAAAACTTGTCAAAGCAACTATATTTCTGCAGTGTGATGTTCCATCAGCAGTCATGAGAGTTGTTCATTGATCCAGATGTCTCTCGAGTCAGTTTTGCTATAGTTATCTATGACACCAGACAACGGGAGGGTTTAAAAAATGTGTCAGAGTGCCTAGGATGCTGGCATTACCTTGGTTGCCCAGGCTATGTTTTATCTAACATGGACAGCTGTAAGATACTGACAAGCAAAGTCTTTATTTCCAGGGAAGGGCTGTCCTTCTGGTCCTTGCAATGATCTGCTGTCCTTTAATTAAAGATATTCCTACTCAGGCATGACTAATCAGTATACAATGTGAAAAATATATATACATAAAGAAAAGTAATAGATTTTCATTATGTAAACACTGATTACCACAATAGGGAGGGAAATTTTCATGACACCATGTAGATACAAATACAGTATGATTTTCTGCAGGAGCTCGTCGTAGAAAATCTGTCTTTCTGTGAGGTGTCCCTGGGATCCCCTCGTCTCTCCCAGAGTCACCTTTTCCTTTCCTTTGCCTACCTGTCACCACTGCCTGGAGTCTTCTGCTGTAATGATCCCCTGGGGAGGCTTTGTTGGTAGTGCCCCTCAGTGGGACCCATTAATGCTCCAGTAGGGTTGGAGCTTGCATCTGACTTTGAATTTGGAGACGTTTCTTCAATGACCTCTCAGTTTCTGAGGTTCGTTAACTTGGCACCAAGCCCACTGGAGAGGTCATTAAAATGCCTTGGGCTGCTCCTGTGCTGCTGAGCTGGGCTGGGCTCCTGGGATGGAAGGAGCTCCTGGCAAGTGGGCAGTGCTGCAGAGAGACAGCTCTGCCCAGGAGCAGCTCCTCTGCAAAGCGCAGCAGGGCTGGGGGCACTGCCCATGGGCACCCAGGGGAGAGGAGCCAGGCAGAGAGAGGTTAAAGGCAGTGGAGAACATGCTGACAGCTCAAAGGAGGAGAAATCTTTGCAGCCCTTGACACAGTAGGTTTCTGCATTCAGGGCAGTGAAACTGTAATTCCTGGAGACATCTCCTAAAGCTGACATAGCTCACAGATGGTGGTATCTCTGTTACAGAGGAGGAGGAGGTTCTGCAGAGCAGGCATTACCAGTTACACCATCAGAGGGACAGGGTATGAAGGCTGCCTTCTCCCATGGATGGCTCCCAGGGAGCTCTGTGTCAGGGTAGGCACTCTGCTGTCTGCTAGGGTCAGCACTCAGCTGACGGGGGAGCTCTGAATGGTGCTGCAGGGAGAAGCTGTGGGTGAAAGGAGTGACCCCTGGCACAGCAGGGTCCTTCTGCTGTCCAGAGGGTGCTGCGTGGGTCAGGGCTGCTCACAGCTCCAGATCACTCCCAGGACATTGGAAGAGGCAGCATTTCAAAAGGAAGGTCAAGGCAGGAGCTACCTTAGAGATGAAGATATTTCCAGCATCTGTGCTCTCAGCTTGCTTATAAGAGAAGGAGGAAAGGGAATTTAAAGTTTGAATAAGTCACTGAGAATCCTAAATCACTAATAGGAGGAATCAGCAGATCAGCCAGAAACCTCATAATTGCCTTTACCCACTCCTCTGCCTGTAGAAGGCACCAGCATCAACTTTGCTTGCAGCATCAGGGTTTAAACGCGCTACTACTTAGGAACCACAAAGAAGGAGACAGCCCTGGGCAGTGCCCTGCTGCCAGGAGGGGTCTGCAGGGCAGAGCTGAGCACACAGCAGGTGGGATGGGGTCTGTGAGCAGTGACAGGGAGGAGATGCGGGGACAGAGAAACAGCTCCCAGCAGGGACAGCTCCAGGCAGCACAGCGTCACTGCACCCTTCTGCATCCCTCTCTGCTCAGCTGCACAAGGAAAGAGAAAAGAGTTTGGAGAAATGGACTTTGAAACGGGACTCTTCCACACTCCCAGAAGTCCATTTCCTTCTTCAAGTACATTGTTAGTGAGATCATCCTCCAGTGGAGAGCGGTGTGAGCACAGGGCACCTGTGTGGTAACCAGCAGGTCACTCGTGGGCAGAGCAGCTCTGCTGACTCTGCAGTGGGGCACAGGGAGCCCTTTTGTCCTTCAGGACTCAGCAGTGTTTGGGTTAAAAGTTCTGTGAAAGAGAGGGATTTCTTCCCCTCCAAAGAAAGTGCCCTCAGCAGCCCCAACCTGATCTCACAAAAAGCATTTGAATGAAATTATGACAAAGAAAAGTCTTTGTGGGGGTATATTCTAAAAGAAATGTATTTGATTTTGCTCACAGAAATCTTTCTTAACTTTTCACTATCCTTTCTCTCTTGGACAGTGCCCCATGT